GGGGGCAGGAAAGAAGGAACCCGACCTAACACACACCCTGCCAGGCGCTTTTCATGTCTTGCCAGCAGCCCTGTGGGATGGATGTTAGAATCCCATTTTACAGATGAGGAGGAAACTGAGGCTCACAAGGGTGCAGACTCCACCACAGGGCCTTTGCATGCACCACGCCCACTGGGTGTGCCCTCCCCTCATTCCTGCCAGTGCAGCCTCCTGCTGAAGGGAGTGTTCCCTCTCTGACTCAGTCACTGCCACTCTATCCACAGGACCTGGGCTTTTCAGGTCGCTGCTGACACAACATTTGGTTCCTGTGTCCCCAGAGTACAGTTCCATTGTCAGCCTCTGGAGCTCCTGTTTGTCACATGACACAGGCCTGGGATGAATGCCTGTGACCTCAGCCAGTTATAGACAGTTCTGATTTGTCCCTCTGGCTCTCACTCCCAGAGGAGGGGCTCAGGTCAGATTAGTTAATGCAGGAACAGATGTTTGTTTTTCCCTTTGTGGAAGGGCTTCTTAAAGGCCGGGACTTCTTAAAGACAGGGCTCGACACACAATAGGCGCTCAACAGATGTTAAGATGCTCAGTAAATACCTTTGTTGGATAATGACAGTAACTTGAGGCAGAGATCACTATGGATAAATGTTTATGAAGCAGACACTCATGCCAAAGCTGACAAGTGACTCGTCCAAATCCACACAGCAAAATAATACAGAGCTCTGGGTATACTGCCAGTAGGGGGATTGTAGGGCCATATGGAAGGTCAAATCACTCTAGGAAAAAGATACCTGCACACACAGATTTATTGCAGCATTGTTCACAATAGCAAAAACATGGAACCAACCATGCTGCCCATCGAAAGAGGACCGGATAAAAAAAAAATGTGGTACATATACATGATGGAATATTACGCAGCTTTAAAGAAGGACAAAATTATGAACTTCACAGCAACTTGGATGGACTTAGAGTCTATAATACTGAGTGATGTATCACAGAAACAAAGAACTGAGTACCACATGTTCTAACTCATAAGTTGACCTTGAACAATTATTGTAATACTATAAGAAAAGGATTGTCAGTAGTGAGAAATTGCCGGCTGGGGGGAGGGGAGGCAGGATTGGCAGTAGTGGGATTCTGCTGGGGGGGCACACCTCATCAACAAGGGTACCTGCATAATGGGCGTTTGTATACTTAACTCTGAATTGTACCCCACATCTTTAAAATTAAAAATTAAAAAAAAAAAATAACAGAACTGGGTGCTTAAACCCAAGCCTCCTAACTAACAATGATGAAATGATCATCACTGTCATCCTGACTGTGACTATTTCTTGAACATCTACTCTGTGCCAGGCATTTTATAAGCACAATCTCACTGAATCCTCAGATGATAAGTGGGGCCTCCAAATCCCCAACTTTCCTCTGGGGTCTGCATGGGGTGCTGACTGCAGCTGCTCGGGCCAGAACTGGGGAACACCGCTGAACCAGGTCCCAGGACAGCACAGAGCCAGGTAGCCACAGGCCCATGAAGCCACCAGCTTCCTCCCTGGGGCACTAGTCACCCTGCTTAACACTCTCTCATCTGGGTGTCCTCAGGGCAGTCCCCATGGTGGCTGTGTCAACAGACTCTAATATCTATCCCAAAATCTCTGCCTCCCTGCTCACCTCCTCCAGGAAGCCCTCCCCCAGCAAATGCTCTTCTGAGAGCAGGAAAGGACCTCAGAGACCATACAGTCCCCCTTTCCTGCACCCATTTCACAAATGGGGAAACCGCAGTCCAGGGGAGAAGGCCCCACCGTGGATAGGGCTGCAACTGAGACAAGCACTAGGACTGTTGGTCCCCAGCCCAGAGCTCTTCAGGGCCCACTCTGCTGCTGTGACCTGCTGTCACAACCACACTCGACACATCAATGTTGGCCATGCCTTCCACTGAGAGCAGCCTGGCATTCAAGGGCACAGGCTCAGGATTTATTTATTTATTTATTTATTTTGAGTTGGAGTCTCACTCTGTCACCTAGGTTGGAGAGCAGTGGCACACTCATGGCCACCACAGCCTTGATCTGCTGGGCTCCAGCGATCTTTCCGCCTCAGCTTTCAAAGTAGCGGGAACTACAGACGCACGCCACCATGCCTAATTTTTTCGTGATTTACAGTAGAGACGAGGTCTCACCAAGTTGCCTAGGCTGGTCTCGAACCCCCTAGCTCAGGCAAACCTCTTGCCTTGGCCTTCCAAAGTGCTGGAATTACAGACTGAGCCACCGAGCCTAGCCATTTTTTTTTTTGAGTTGGAGTCTCACTTTGTTATCCAGGTTGGAGTGCATTGGCACACTCACAGCCACCCCAGTGATCTAGCACACCCAGCTAATTTTTTGATTTATTGTAGAGACGAGGTCTCACCAAGTTTCCCAGGCTGGTCTCGAACCTGCGGGTTCAGGCAATCCACTCGCCTCGGCCTCCCAAAGTGCTGAAATTACAGGCTGAGCCACTGAGCCCGGACCAGGCTCAGGATTTAAAACAAGAGACTTGGGCACATATAATCAAGAGGTCACATCTATGTGCAGCTTGAGGACAGAGGATGCTCTCCCAGCTGGGGAGACAGAGGGGTCATCTGTGACCCTGCACATCCTTGCGAAGGCTCTT